GGGGGAGGGGGAGCCGGGGCGGCGGGGAAGGGGCGGCAAGAGAGCGGCCGGCCGGCAGCGAGCGGCTCCGGGCCTGGCACGCTCTTGTTTATGCGGCAGCCGGGGAGATGCCACAACAGCTCCAGCTGCCTCCCCGCCAGCCGGCCGGGAGGAGGGGTTGGACACAAACTCCCCAGCTCTGCCTTAAAGTTCCTCAGCTCTGATTTGGGTTTTCCCCCGTTTTTGCTTTGTTTTCCACGCTGGACACAAGCAGCAGGGGTCTGACAGAGCCGCTCGGGCTGTGGGCGCAGACCGCAGCCCCCTCCCGGATAAAGCATCGCCGCAGGCAGCCGCTCGCACGCCCCACCAGAAAGTGGGAGAAAGCAGGATTCGTATTTTTCTTTAGGAGCTAATCTCCCTCTCCCTGGTCACGCTCCGGTCCCAAGGTTGCGGGGCCGCAGCACAGATTTATCTGTGCCGGCGAGGCCAGGCAGGCAACGGGACGAGGATCACGGAGACCAGAACCAACAAGCGGGAAGTTGTTTGGTGCCAGTTCCTTCCCCATCTGCCCGAAGACATAAGCAGGGCTAAAGCCGGACAAGCCTGGCAGGAAACGCTCGCTAACCACAGCGCCCGCGCGGCACGGACCCCGGCCCAGCCACCCCCGGACCCCTCCAGGAGAAGGGGATCACCCTCGCCTCCCCCAAGGCACAGCAAAACCCTGGGAACACAAACTCATCGCCTGGGCACAGGGAACGCTGCCTCCCGCCTCCAGCGCCGCTCGGGAGAGGGACGGCTCAGCAACGGCCTCGGCAGCGTCCCGAGCACGGCTCGGCACGGCCCGCTGGGAAGCGGCCGGTGCAGCCCCGGCTGCCAGACTCCTGCCAGTTCGCTTTGGTTTGATCCAGAAAGGCATCGGGAGAGCTCAGGCAGGATGAGGCCAGGCATGGATGAAGTCCAGGATGGCTCCAGCCAAGCGTTACTCTCACGAGCTTAGAGGCAGGGCTGAAGATTTTACAAGTATTTTAACTATTCTGAGCAGAAATCCCCGTCCCGGCAGCAACGCAGGCCACGAGGAGGCCGGGGCAGAGAGCAGGACCCGCGCCGGCAGCACCGGGGCACGGTGCTCGCTTCGGCTCCAGCCACCCTCGAACCCCAAAGCGCAGGGGGAGCTCCCCTGCATCCCACCAGGACGGGCCGCCGCGGCTGGGGAACGCGGAGGGACCGGCTCCCCACCTGCAGCTCGGTCTTCCTCTGCCAGCGAGATCAGCTCCCTCCCCTGCAAACATCGTCGAGCTTTGAAGCAACCGCCGCCGGAACCCGCTCTGGGAACAGGCCCGCCTCGCCCTCTCCAAGCCTGGTCTCACTCCCCTTCGCCCGCTCAGCCCGGTTGGTCCCTTCTGCAGGCCGGGAGCGACCGCCTCGGTCCCAAGCCAGCCCCGAGCACTGCAGCCCGGCTCCCTCCGTCCTCGGGGCCACTTCCCTGCCAAAAGCTGCTCTTCTCCCCCCCTGCGCTGCATCCCGGCGTGATTTCGGCAGCAGCCCAGGCTCCTCGCGGGTGCGGAGGTCGAGGGCACTCGCAGACCCCGACGGCAGCCCTGTCTCACGGGGCAGCAGCTCAGCCTGCGGGGACTCGGCACCACCACGCCGCTAGAAGACCTCCACCACCCGCTCGCCGGGGATTCACGCCGCCAGGTCTCATCGTCCCACTCTGCAGCTTCAGCTGGAGCCGCGCGGTGAGCGCCCAGAATAGATCCTCTGCTTATTTATAAGGGAGGAGCTGCCAGGCAGCTGCCGGCGAAGGGCTCCAGCTCGGAGGGGGACGGTCCTTCCTCACCGGCTCCGACGCAGGTGAGCGGCGAGGCCCCACCGGACCGGGACCAGCCGGGACTCCCGACCGCAGGGAGCGGCAGCGGCCTCGCCAGGCACCTGGCCTCACACCGCACCGCTCCGCTGGCAGCCGTTTGGCGCAAACCCCAAGTCACCTTTTCCAGGACCTCAGGAGCCGCATGGCTCCCGGATCCTGGCTGTCTGTGGACCCCCGGCATCACGTGGGTCTCTTCATCCTCCTCCTCCTCCTCCAGACAGCGAGGTGGGAGCTGCCTCCACGCTGCTCAGGTGGGTGCTCCGGGGAGAGCTCTGCGTGGAGCGAGCTCCCGGGGGACCCCATTGCTGTCCCATGAAGCCATTGGCTGCTGGGAGCGCTCCGGGGTTTGCTGGAGAAACAGCCCCGAGGCTTTGGCTGCTCTCACCCGAGCCGCCGGCATCTGGGGCTGGACGGCTCCGTCCTCGCCCCCCTCGCTCGGCAGGACCCCAGGCACCGCGGCCAGTCCTGGAAGGAGCCGCTTCTGCCCGGGAGCTGCTTCAGGACACTGAAAGCACAGCGGACGTCAAATCCCGCCTGCACCAGGGCTCCTCCGAGGGATTAAGGAAGATCCAGCCACTCCGATTCCGCATCCCTCAGGCGAACCTGGGCTTCAGGGCGCCAACAGATCCACAGACCCCCAAGACGGCCAGATCTTCGCACTCAAACACCACCACGCCAGGTGAAAAGTTAACCATACGTCGATCTATAGAAGTCAGCAGCTATTTTTGGCGCGCTTTCGTGTCATCAGCAATTACTGTTAGCTGCTGGTTGAGCAAGATCCACGGCGCGACACGGCAAGCACCGGCAGCCACGAGCGGGGCTACAAAACCTGCCGGGATGAATCTGCTCCTCCCCTGCCGCGGCGGCAGAGGCTTTCCCTGGCCAAGGGCTGCACCCACGCCGGCGGCACCAAACGCGTCAGCCGGTGCCTGGAGAGGTTCAGGGAGTCCGAGGCCGCCTCGCTCCATCTCCTCCAAAACGCCATTCCCAAGCAGGATCCCAAACGCTCCCGCAGCCTCGCCGGGATGCGGCGTAACCGCGCGCGGGAGAAGGGTGCATCCTTCGCAGGGGATGGTTGCAACAGCCCGTCTGGGCTAACTGCTTTCCTGTTGCCAGAGATACTTTTCCTATGTCCCAATCGCGCTCGAGCAACCACCCAGAGGCGCACGGGGGCTCGGCCCGCCGCGGATTCGCCCAGCCAGTGCCGGGGGACTCGCGGTTACGGAGAGAGCCTGGCCTTTGCCGCGCAGGCAGGCAGCCCGTGCCGAGGGAGCTCCGGCTTGAGGAGCAAACCCGCAGCGGCACGCGCCAGCGAGCGGCGTGCAAAGCCATCCCCCCGCCCCCGTCC